GTGTCCCACCCCTGTCCCCCCCGGCAGTCGATATCCCAGCGGGGTCGAGCCGAGCGCGCTGAGGGCAGCGCCGAGCGGGGAGCATGCACCACATCCCTCGCCCACGAGATGCTGGTGGGGAACCCGCCCCCCCCCGCACCCCCATCCCGTGGCTCTGCCCCGCCGGTGGCAAGGTCACGGTGACAGGCGAGCAGTGTGGCCGCGGTGGCCCTGTCACCGCCCCGGCACTGGGGACGCTCATCCCTGTCACGCTGCCGGTGGCCATGGACTTTGTGCTGAGCATGGGAGCGGCAGCGGGGACGGGTCTGCCGGTGCTGACAGAGCCCCAAATCTCCCCCAAGACCTGGCTCCGGACAGCAGGTAACACCAGGGTGGCACCCCTCTGCTCAGGGGTTGCTGTGACATGGGGAGGGAGGACAGGTCCCTCCACAGAGCTGCTGCCCCATCCCTGAGTCTGGAGTCAGCTCTGGGAATAATAAAAAAAAAAATAACAGCATTATTGCCATTTTAAAGCAGGGGAAACTGAGGCATGGCAGCACACTGGGTGCCAGAGCAGCCAGTCCTGCTTTGGGGGAGAAAGGTTTTCCTTCAAACCACCAGCTCAGAAGAGTTTTTCAATACCCTGTTCCTGTTCCCCCTGGTTTCCCTAAACCTGGGGCCAAGCTCACCTGAGGAAGCCCAAAGCCCAGGGTGGGCTTCAGGCAGAGCGATGGCTCTGGTGGGATATCGGCTGCAGGTGGAGCTGGAAATAGGGGAGCAGGTGTGGGTGCTCAGCTCCTCCACAGGAACCCACCCATGGGTGGGGACAGAGGCTGAGGTATGATAGGGCTGGGCTGCCAGTGCATTTAGCTCCTGAAATGCTCCAAGATCTGGATATAAGCTGGGATGAGCTCTCTGTTATGTAATGAGGTGTGTCAGGTCTCTGCAGACCACTCCCCTTGGCAGTTCTCTGGACAAGGCCCCTGTGCTGCAGCGCTGTGACCCTGCATGGTGCTAAACGGGGCTTTTGGGGGGGTGGGACTGTGGTGCTGGGCATGGTTTGGGGAGGGCTCGGTGATGATGCTGGTGGTTGTTTATCCCCCAAGTCCGGAAACGCTCTGCTGGGAAGGAAAGGGAGGGGAGAGCCGGGGCTGTTCCTAGCACCGAGCGGGAGGGATGCTCCTGCCTGTGCCCAGAGGTGGCACTGGGACACCCCCATATGTCTGGTCCCAGCAGTCCTTGACCCCCAACATTGCCTCTTCCTTCCCCCTCCAGCTCCCTGGAGGCTCCGCAGTGATCAGGAAGGATCAGGGACCTGCTGAGAGGACCTGACGGTGACAGGTCAGTGCTGGGGCTCTTGGGTTGGAGTTTGGGTGCTGCTGCCTAGCACCCTTGGGTGCCGTGGCCTTGCCCTCCCAATCTTCGTGAGGACAGAGTGGGGAGGGGAAGTGCATAAGGAAATAGGTCCTTTGCCCTAGAAATGTGGCTTTTCCTGGGGATTTCCTGGCTGATGCAAGACAGGGCACGAGAAAAACATCGGATTTGAGCCGAAGGCGCTAGTGGAAAGAGGTTGTCCCCATCTAAGAGGGGACCTTGCCTTAAAATTGGGTTTGGCCCCTTGCTGGGCCTCTTTGTGTCCATCAGGATGTCAGCTCTCGGGTAGGGTGGGGAGTGCAGGTGGAGGTGGAGACATGCTGGTGGTCTCTCATGGCAGGGAGACGGTGCAGGGCTCTGGGGAGCTGCTGGCGCAGACACACGAGCATCACCTGCCTCAGCGCCACCCCCCCACCCCCAGCACAGGGCTGCCGGGAGCCTCAGGGCCGCATCCAGCACCCGTCCTGACTGCGCCAGCACCCAGCGAGGGGCTGGTGGCACCACCATGTCCCAGGCAGAAGGTACGGCTGAGCCCTTGGTCTGTCCCGGGGGAGGCACAGGCTTTGCGTGGGGACCCCAGTGCTGGTGTGACACCCCCCCCCAGTCAACACCGTTCCCCATGCCATCCTGTTTTGCTTGGAGTTTTTGATCCTAAAAGCACCTTTTGCCTCAAACCCTGATTTATAGGGTGCTGGGCTGCTCCAGGAGCTCCTGTAGCAGCAGCCTCTGTCCCCATGTCCCCCCCGGTCACATCTGCACCGCATGGGGAGGATGCTCAGACCTGGACTGGGGGGGGGCGGGTCGCGGAACGGGGTGGGGGGGGCCACAGAAATAAACATTGGAAGGGAAGTGCAGGCAGTTCATCCCCGAAGCATGAGAGATCCGTGCATGGACCACCCTGCTCCATCCCTCCCAGGAGGCGAGGAGACCTTTGAATACTGTGATGTGGTCATCAACAGCCAGGAGAAGGTTTTGGATGTGTACACACAGCTGGAGAAGCTGGGAGAGTAAGTGTGTGGGGGGGTCCCGTGTCCCCAGTGCTTGGTGATGGCTCACGGCTGTCCCTGTGCAGCCCTGGGTGGGATGCAGGGGGGTGGTGATGGCTCCTCCATCCCTCATCCTTGCTCTGTCCCAGGGGAAAATTTGGGACTGTGTACCGGCTGCAGGAAAAAGCTACTGGCAAAATCCGGGCTGGGAAGTATTTCCGGACACGGACAGCTAAAGAGAAGGAGGCGGCTCGGGCCGAGGTGGAGCTCATGAACCTGCTGCATCACCCACTCCTTGTGCAGTGCCTCGCCGCCTTCCAGGGCCCCACCGAGCTTGTGATGGTGATGGAGTAGTGAGTGGGGGGGCAGAGTCAAGTTTGGGGGTGGTGGGAACGGTGCTGGACCCTGCAAGGAAGAGCACTGAAGGTGGGGAGGTGTCCCTGTACCGTGGGGTGCTGGCATGGGGTGTAGGATGGATGGGGAACGTGCAGATCCTGGAGATACGGGTGGTGAGATGCTCCCAGAGTGCTGAGTCTGGGTTCCCTGCCGGGGCTTCCTCTTGGGGTTGGTAGACCCCAGCGAGGTCCCCAGCACCTTGTCCTCCCCCAGCGTGGCAGGTGGGGAGCTCTTTGAGCGCATCGTGGATGATGACTTCGAGCACACGGAGCCCAGCAGCACCCAGTACATGCAGCAGATCCTGGAGGGGCTGCGGTTCATGCATGGCCAGGCCGTTGTCCACCTTGACCTCAAACCCGAGAACATCGTCTGTGTCAGCCCTGGCAGCCACTGGCTCAAGATTATTGATTTTGGCTTGGCGCGGAAGCTGAGTGAGCAAGAATGGGGGTCCTGGGGGACCAGGGTGGGACTGTCACCATCACAGGGACATGATCCAGCTGGGCATGTCAGCAAGGAGCATGGCATCTTCTCGCCTGTTCCTCTGGGATGAGCAGCCCTGTTCCATCAGATCAGGGCTCTTCCTGGTGACTGTGAGATGCTCTGGGGAAACCCACATGTCCCCGGCCCTGCCTCTGAGGTGGAAATCCCTGAAAGCCCCCATCCTTGTGGGCGCCTGGCACCTAGAGATGTTCTAGGAGATCACCATGACCTGTGATGGGTCCTGGAGGGGGGAAGTTACACGTGGATGCAGGGGCTCATCCACCTGGCATGCACTGGGGTGTAGCTGGGCTGCCATGGGGAGACCCCAGCTGGACACCTGCCCCATGGTCTCCATCATCTCTGCAGGTCCAGACACCCCCGTGAAGGTGCTGCACGGCACCCCTGAGTTCATGGCTCCAGAAGTGATTGCCTTTGAGCCTGTGGGCTTCTCCACGGACATGTGGAGCGTTGGTGTCATCTGCTACATCCTGTGAGTGGCCTCCTGGGGACAGTGGGTCTGGCTGGAGGGGGCTGAGTTGTCACTGATGTCTTTGCATCACCTCTCCAGGCTGAGCGGGGAGTCCCCCTTCCAGGGGGACAATGACCTGGAGACACTGAGCAACATCACAGCTGCCCAGTGGGACTTTGAGGAGGAGATCTTCTCAGAGATCTCCCAGCAAGCCAAGGACTTCATCAGCCAACTGTTGCAGAAGGACCCTCGGTAGGACCTGGGGGCAGCTATGGGGTGCTGAGCTGGTCTGGGGTTTGGGGTGCCAAGGGGATGGGCAGGGAAAGCACTGAATGCAGCCCATGGCGGGGGTGCTCCATGGGGCCATGCCAGCAGCCAAGGGTCTGATGGTGGAGCAGCCCCCCCCATGACTGCCCCGTCTGCCCCCAGTCGCCGGCTCTCCAGTGTGGGGGCTCTGCTGCACCCCTGGCTGCAGCAGCCCCAGCCCAGCAGCACGAAGGCGCTGTCAAAAGAGAGGATCAAGCAGTTCCTGATGCGTCGGAAGTGGCAGGTACCTGGGGAGATGATGAGGACGTGGGGATGGGGATGGCTCTGGTGGGACTCAGTGCTCCTTCTCTTCTCTCCAGAAAACAGGCAAAGCTCTGCTGGCCCTCAACAGGCTGAGCCGGCTGTCCCAGGGCTCGGAGAGGAAAGTGTCAGAGGCTCAGGATGAGGAAGGTGACGGCCCCTAGGCATCCCTAACACACCCTATCCATTCATTCGCTCTGCTTTGCCAACCCCAGCTTCTGGAGAGCTTCTTCCCCCTTTGCTCCAACCTGCCCTGGTGCCACTAAACGCTTGGACATGTCCCCACTGTGGTATTTCCACTCCAGGGCCAGCTTTGGTGCCCCAAGGTTGTCTCCATCCTCACCCCCAAGGGGCCCCTCTCTGATGCAGCCCTGGAACGGGCTCATCCTGCTCTGCAGGGCTGGGATCTGTGTGTGATCCAGAGCTGATCCCCACAGGACCTGGCCCATGGGTGCACCAGTGCCTCCAGCAGAGGACAGGCTGAACTCGGCCGGCTCCTCACTGTTCTCTCTGTCCATCTGCCCGCAGGCCTGGGCTGCAGCCCGGAGGAGGACCAAGCCTCTGGATCTCTGCCACTACGAGGTCCCAGCTTCTCGAAGCTGCTGACAGACCAAGAGGAGGAGGAAGGTGGGAGCACTGTGGCCTCAGGGAAGGCGGAGACCAGTGTCAGCATGGCTGTGCTACCCCAGCCTGGACCACCTAGAGCAGCTGGTGACAGAGGAGCAGCTGATGGGGATAAAACCTCCTGCAGCGCCTCGCATGGTGACCCAGCCAGCCTAGGGTAGACCCAGACCCCAGGGCTCCTCTCCCACAGGTGAACTCTGGGGTCCCACAGTGTCCCTGTGCTGGTGTCGGGACAGCATACCTGCTCCTGTCTGCATGGCCTCCCGGGCTTGAGCTGTTACCAATAAAGCACTGAGGATTTCTGCATTCCCTGTGCTGCTCCTTTTCCCCCTAAAAATAACTAGGAGGGTTGGGAAAAAGCTGCCCAAGCTTTTCCCACTCTTTGGGAGCTGGGACCAGGCTCTCCCTGCACCCAGCCCATCACTCATGTCCTCTCCAGGAGAGATGCTGGCCCTGGGGTCAGGGAATGAGTGGGGATGGCTCTACCAGCAGCCCTTGGTGTCCCTTGTTTGGAAGAGTCTTCCCTCATAAAGGGAGGTTGGCATGATGTCCTGAGCCTGCAGGCAGGAGGAGCCAGGTTGAGCTCTGGGGACTCTGGTCTCCCCATTTTTTGGCCAACTCTGGTACGAGCAGAGCTGGAAGAAGCCCAGAAACTGCTGTGTAACCTCCAACCTCCTCCTAATGAGGCAGCTTGGGCAAAAATTGGTGTTTGGGAGCCCCTCTCCTTCAACAAATGCACAGCCCTGCCCCTGGGGAAGAACACCCCCGGGCACCAGTATGTGCTGGGGGACACCCAGATGGGCGGGCAGCATTTTGGCCTGGGGGTCCTGGTGGGCACCAGGTTGACCATGAACCAGCAATGTGCCCTCGCTGCAAAGGTGAACGGTGTCCTGGGCTGCGTTAGACAGTGTATTGCCAGGGGGTGGAGGGGGTGATTCCTCCCTTTATTCAGCCCTGGTGAGGCCACACCTGGAGGACCGTGTCATGTCCCGGGGTGCCTAGTACAAGAGAAGCATGGACACGCTGGAGAGTCCAGTGAAGGATGGTGAAGGGACTGGGGCACCTCAGCTATGAGGAAAGGCTGAGGGAGCTGGGACTTGAGGGCTCGGGGGTGTCTCATCAATAGAGATAAACACCTCAAGGGGGGGTGCAGAGAGCATGGAGCCAGGCCCTTCTCAGGGGTGCCCAGTAGCAGGACCAGAGGCCACGGGCACCAACTGAAATACAGGAGATTCCATTTGAACCTCAAGAAACCCTTTTTTACAGGTGATGGAGCGCTGGCACAGGTTGCTCAGGGAGGCTGTGTGATCTCCATCCCTGGAGATGCTAAAAAACCCCCCAGACATCTAGGAGTGATCCTGGGCAGCCTCCTGAAGCAGGGGGATGGACTGGATGAGCTCCACAGGTTCCTTTCACTCTCAACCATCTTGTGACTCTGTGAAAACCCACCTCCTGTTGAAGCTGGACTGGGGACTGTTCTCCAGCATGTGCCAGTGCCGGAGGACTTGCAAAGGTGCCCTGGTTGGAGCAGTCCAGCCCTCTGCCCACTGCCAGGGTGCAGCTGTGCCCAATAACACACAGCTTCAGCCCTTCCTCCTCCTCTTCTTCCACCCCTGCTGGGCGAAGCCACCAGGGAGTAGGAGGGAAGTATTATTTTTATTAAACAGAACAGAATCCACACAGTCTCACAACGACAGCGGGGACACGTGTCTGAGCGCTCCAGGCAGGAGCACTCCCAGGACACAGGTGAGAGGAACACCAGGCATCAGAGCTGCTGCTGGATGGTTTGCTGAACCCTCTAGGAAGCTGCTGGCCGCCACAGCAGTTGGTTTCTGTATCAGGATTTGACATCCTGCTGCCTCTGGAGATGGTAGGCCAGCTGGAGTGCCTGTGGTCCCTCGGCTGAGGGACTTTGTGGCTCTTATCTGCTTTCTCTTGGGCTAACGGGGGGGATGCTGTCGCCTTCCTGTCCTGTTATTGTAGCATTGACTCCCTGGTTGACAAGGCTTTATCAGCACCCATGTCTGACTGAATTTTTGTGGCAAAAGCCTGTTCCATGGCTGATAGCTGCTTCTGGGTGCATCTGACCATGGGAAGCAGGAGACTGCTGTGGTGTGGCAGAGCTGTAACGTGCTCTGCCCAAGGACTGGGTGGCCTCTTCCCTTGTTGGAAACAGTAGATGCAACTTAAGAAGGAACTTAATTTGGAAGCTGGTGCATGGACCTCCAGCCGGAGCACAGGGAGCCCTTTTGGGGACCCCCAACAATGGTGAGGCCACCTTGATGTTTTCATTGCTTGGCATGCTGTAGGTCATTCCTCACAGGGTTCAACCGCGGCTTTTTAATGGCCGGGTGAGACATCTCCTGACAGATAATCGGCTTTCTCTTCCTCCCTCTTGCTTTCAGTGGGAAAAGTGGATTCACTGCTCTGAGTTGGAATAGAAGCTCCTTAGAAACAAATAAACAAACAAAAATATTTCATACTCTATCCACAGCATTTGTTTTCTCTTTCCAGAGGAACAGGGGGAGACTGAGGACCCCTTTCTCCTCCACTGCTCGCACACATCATATCCCAATTTTTACCCGTTATCTATTCTGTGTTTTCCTTGTTACACGGCCTCTGAACTCACACGTGTCCCTTGGGAATGAAGCAGAATGCCTTCAAGCAGGAGATAATAAGCAAACAGTAAGTTACGTATAATCAGTCCCTTGATGAGCTATTTACCATGTGCCATTACCGAAATATTTCTGGTTGGGAACTATGTTTATCTTCATATGTTTTCTAAACTTCTCTCAGCCCTGAAAATCCATGTCCCAGGACTCCAGACATGAACTTTCTCTCTCTAATCCTGTATTTAATACTTTAAAAATCATTTTACCTACAGAAGAAGCTGGTCTACTGACAGAGGGCACATGTTTCTTCTTCCATTTAACACATTAAAATGTGCACTTTGAGAAAGCAGTGGACTAAGAGTGGAATTATACCTGGAACTCATTATAGCTACCCAGAAATTCAGCAGCACTGAAAACAGAAATCCAATCTCAGCATCTCAGAGGCAAAGGAATTAAGATCTTGATCCTTCCATCAAGAAGGACTCTTGGGTTGACCTTCACTTCAGCCACACAACTTCAGAGTAGGTCCTTCTGCCATCAGAAATCCTCCATCAAGGCAGAAAGGAAGAGTGTTGCTCTTGGGGAACCTTGAGACGGTTCCCTCCCTGTATCAGGTGCCCCTAGGCCCAGCTCCTTGGAGGTACCTGCGGTGACGTCAGCTGTCCGAATACCCTCAAGCTTCTGGAAATTATTCCTTCAGTGTCACATTATCATGATGATCCTGGGTTTATTCAGGACCGCACAGTCTAGGTCTAGGAATGCTTATTTGGATAAGGAAATATTGCCCAGGTAGCTCTAACACCAAGAAATAGGATTTTTTTTTTTTTTTTGTGGACCTGCAAATTCAGGGGAAAAAACCCCAATGGAAGTGTGATTTCCTACTTGGGAATTGAAGTTAATTAATTAATTAGTAAAACCTAAGTCTGAAGTCAACCTAATGTAAAAAAAATTAGTGCTGGGCACATATTGAAGATGATTATTTGAACATGTCATTTCTAGAATGCTTTTTTAAGGACTGTTACATCAGGGAGCAAACAGCCACCACGCTGTTTGAATTGTCAGATAAAAGCCTTCAGGTGTCGCAAGTCAAACACCAGAAAAGTGGTGACAGGAGAGAACACACAAGAGTACGAGGACTTGGGAGAGCAGGTGCAAAGGCAGTTAGATGAGGAGAGAAGCTGTAGGTGATGGAGGCACATCAGTAATACCCAAGTTGTGATGCACTTGTCTCTTGCCAAGCTCCCCCAGCCAGGCGGGGTGTCCTCACTTCCCGAAGGGTAGAGCCAGGTCCCAGCCAGGCTCTGGGGGGTCAGGGAGGCTCTCTGTGGTCATTGGAGCTCAACAACCACCACGCCAGCGCCCAGGATGGGCTGTGGAGGGCTGGCTCCAGAGAAGAGCAGGTAAGAGCCATGAAGTCCCCTGACCAAGAGAGCGCAGGCGCTGTGGCGGGTCTGCCATGGCCGGAGGCATCTCGGTCTCTGGGGTTGGGATGCGGGGTGAGCAGGATGCTCCCCCACATCATCCTCCCGGTATCGCTGATGCAAGGACTACTATGTCCAACCTGCACTGAGGAGCTCCAGCAGCCCCAAAACGAGGACTGAACTCCCTCTTTGCAGCTCGGTCCCACGCCCACGGGGATCAGCACAACCCCAAATCCCTCATGAAACACCTCCCAGTGCAAAGGAGGCCACAAGCCCCATCCTTCCCAGTGCCAGGCCCTGTTTCACACCCTGCTTTCATGGCCTTCATCCCACCATCGCAGCCCTCCTCATGGCCAGGAGATGGTACTGTTGGCCTCGTCCCTGCTTCTCCTGGGGATGGAGAGCCACAGCTGTCCCTCACGCCGACCTCATCCTGCCCAGCCCTGCCGGCTGCTCTGATCGCACTTGCCCTTGACATGGGCCATCCCACCCCAAGTCAGGAGGGACCTGGTGGGACCTTTGAGATCAAAGCCTGGCCCTGCCTGGCCCAGAGGCAGCCTGGGACCTGTCCCAGCACCCATCTCCCCCTGGGCCGGGTCCAGGCCTGGTCTCCTGCATGGCGGGGTCTCCACTCACACCCTGCATCCCCAGCTGGGATCCCAACCCTGACATTTCCCATCAGGAAAGGTCCTTGTGCCCTTTTCCAGCTGCAGTCAGGAAGGTGTTGCCAGCATGAAGGTGGCCTCTCAGACAGCACTTGGATTTCAGCCCAGCATGCAGGCAGGATGCTCATGGGGGAACCCAGACCTTGGGGTCCCCACAGACCCCCTACCCCATAGCAGAGCCCATCTGCAGCATGGGACAGCTCTGGGTGAAAGCCCTGGTCCTCACACACGGTCCTGGTGACACCTGCCCTCCTGGTCACACCTCTGGGACTGCAGCGGGGTGGTTTTCCTGTCCCTGCAGAGGGTTGCGATGCCTTCCCTTAAAAACCAGGATCAGGGAATTAAATGCAAAATATTTAATGAGATGCTGAAATATTTAATGAAACCAAGAGATTTCAACGGCAAAATTGAGCTTTGGAAAATCAGAACAAACCCAAATGTGGGTGACCCCAATTTCGGTGCTGCTGAGCTGCCCGCGGCTCCTCCCCGACCTCCCGAACCCCCAGAGGTGTTGGGGAGGACTCAGCATCACGCCAAGGGCAGCTCAGGAATCTGTGGCAGCTGCCTGCTCATGTCGTGCATCCCCCAGCTGCGACCTGGGGTTTGCAGAGGGCGGGAGAGGTTGGTAGGACAGGTCTGTTGTGTTCCCCTGGTCTCTGCGGTGCCGACACCTCGGCAGGTCCTGCTGAGCAGGAGAGGCCACAGGAGCCGGCCGGACACGGTGACGTTGGTGTCTGGCCCTGGGGCTGTGCGGGGGGCTCTGGCCACGGTAGATCCTGGGGGGTCCCATCTGGAGCTGTCCTCCACCCACCCCTAAGCAGATCTCTCCTCGAATCTTAAATTTCATCCAATCTCAGCAAACCTCGCCAAACCTCAGTACAGCTCACCAAACCTCAGTACATCTCACCAAATCTCAGTAAATCTCGCCAGATTTCAAGAAATCTCGCCAGATCTCAGTGGAATAATGGAATAAAGTTCTTCACATCCTGGCAGCGCTCTGGAGCGACAGTTGTTGATGGGGAGAAGCCTCGCTCGGCGCGGTGGGGTCCAACCGCTGCCGCATCCCCGGGCGTGCGCGGAGGGCGGGTGGGTGCTGCGGCTCATGGCACCCTTGGGGGAGGTGGGGCCGCTCAGGGCTTCACCCTGGCCCCGTGGGAAACGGGACCACTCCAGGCCGTCGGGATCTGCCCCTGCAGGCAGGGCTGTGGCCTGCCCGCACCGTGTCAGCCCTGGCACCGGGTGCGTGTCCCCACCCAGGGAGCCCCAGACCCTGTGTCACACACCCCAGAGGGGCCCTGCTGTGTCACACACACCCAGGGTGGGCTGCTCAGGGGTGCAATGAGTTTGCTCAGCCTCGGTTCTCCCTCCTGTGGTGGCCGGGGTGGGGAGAAAGGGGAAAAGAGGAGGGAGACCAGCATTTCCTGGCTGCCCTCCTTGCTCCAGTGTGCCCCTTAAAAAAAAAATAAAATTAAATAAAGTAAACGCAATAAGATTAAAAAAAAAAAGTAAAATGAGGTAAAAAAAAGTAAAAAAATAAGAGAAATAATAAAATAAATTAAAAGATATAAATAAGTTTGTAATAAAGTAAAATAAAATAATAAAAGAAAAATAACAAGATAAAAAAAATGAAATCAATACAATGAAATAAAATTAAAATATAAAATAAATAATTAAAAAATAAATACAATTGATAAAAAATAAAATTAATAAAATTTTATAAAAATAAAATTAATATTAAAATATAAATAATTTAAGAAAATTAAAGCAAATTTTTAAAAATAATAAGGTAAAATAAAATAAGATAAACTGAGGTAAAGTAAAGCCGGATGAAGTAAAAGAAGGCAGGGTACGGTGCCCCCCCGGGCGGCAGGTGCCGGG